GGGGGGAGGGTCATGTAGAGGTCAGTGGCCCTGGCGTTGGGCATGGAGGTGTGGATCCGCCGAGGCAGAGGTCGGCCAACGGCCCTGCTCTGGCTGTTATTGCTAGTGCCCTTGGCAGCCCCAGGGCTGCGAGGGCTCCTGTTCATGGCCACCCCTGCCTCAGCTCCAGGCGAGACAGTGGAAGGCGGTGCCCCCGCCCCCACCGTTCAGCGGTTGGCCCCGGGAGCCCCAGGTACATGGGCAGGGTTGTGTGGGGTGGCTGCGAGACACTGCAGGGCTGGACGGCCAGACTATAGACTGAGATCCAATACCAAGGGATCACCTGAGTCTCCCCTCCCTCCCCTGCCCCCGCCACTACACTAGGCAGCCCAGAGACCACACAACACAAATGGATTTCAGGCTTCCCCTCCACTCCTGTGCCCCTGATGGGAAGTGCCCCAGGACCTGAGGGTGGGGCCTGGAACAGGCGCTGGTTGGAGGGGAGCACCAGGGCTGCTGAATGAGGGCCCCTGAGTCTGGCCCAGTGATCCCTGTTTCCTCCCTGAGGCCCAAGCATAAGCCTGAGACAAGGACTCGCCTCTCAGAGGGCCTGGGCTCACCCCTGAGCCCCAATTATCTTCAGGTGCATACTAGAACCTGAGTTACAGTCATAGCCCACCCCTCTAATTTTTTATTTCTCAACTACAGTTGACATTCAATATATTATGTTATATTAGCTTCAAGTGTACAGCATAGTGGTTAGACATTCATTTAATTTACAAAGTAATTCCCCAAATAAGTCTAGTACCCACCTGGCATCATACATAGTTATTACAACATTATTGACTATATTCTCTACGCTGCACTTTACATCCTCATGACAATTTTGTTAACTACCAATGTGTACTGCTTAATCCCTTCACTCTTTCATCCAGTCCCCCTAAACCCCCTCTCATCTAGCAACCATCAGTTTCTTCTCTGTATCTGTGAGTCTGTTTCTGTTTGATTTGTTCACTTATTTTGTTTTTAGATTCCACATATAAGTGAGATCATATGGTATTTACTTTTCTCTGTCTGACTTATTTCACTTGGCATAATACCCTCTAGGTCCATCCTTGTCACAAATGATAAGATTTCATTTTTTTCTCAAGCCCAAGTAATATTCTACAGTATATTTGTACCACCTCTTATTTATCCAATCATCTATTTAATTTTTACTTTTTATCTTTATTCTCATTTGAGGATATTTCTTCCATTGCTTTTCAGAGAGGGTGGGAAGGAGAGAGAAAGAGGGAGAAACATTGATGTGAGAGAGACACATTGATTGGTTGCCTCCTGCACACCGCCCCAGGACTGGAGCTTGTAACTGAGGCATGTGCCCCTGGCTGGAATTGAACCTGGGGCCTTTCAGTGGGGGGCCCTACACTCTCACCATTGAGCCATACCTGCTGGGCTATCCAATCATTTATTGATGGGCACTCAGGTTGTTTCCATATCTTGGCTATTATAAATAATGCTGCAGTGAACATAGGGATCCATATATCTTTTCAAATTAGTGTTTTGGATTTTTTGGATAAACACCCAGAAGTGGAATTGCTGGGTCATAAGGTAGAACTATTTGTAATATTTTGAGGAAGCTCCATATTGTTTTCCACAGTGGCTGCACCAATATGCATTCCCAACAGTGAAGGAGGGTTCCCTTTTCTTTACATCCTGGTCAACACTTGTTTGTTGATTTATTGATGGGAACCATTCTGATAGGAGTGACATGATACTTTATTGTGGTGTTAGTTTGCATTTGTCTGATAATTAGTAATATTAAGCATCTTTTCGTATGTCTATTAGCCATCTGCATGTCCTCTTTGGAGAAATGCCTGTTCAGGTCTTCCACCCATTTTTAAATTGAAACGTTGTTTTTTTCTGATGTTAAGTTGTATGAGTTCTTTTCAAATTTTGAATATCAATGCCTTCTTGATATATCATTGGTGACTATCTCCTCTGATTCAATAGGTTCTTTTTGTTGTGCTGATTGTTTTCTTTGCTGTATGATAGCTTTATTGCGGTGATCATTTTTGTTGTTGTTATTGTTAATCCTCACCTGAGGATATTTTTTCCATTGATTTTTAGAGAGAGTGAAAGGGAGGGAAAGAGAAAGAGAGAAACATCCATGTGAGAGAGACACATCAATTGGTTGTCTCCCTCAAGCATCCTGAACAGGGCTGGGGATCCAACTTACAACCCAGGAATGTGCCCTTGACAGGGAATTGAACTCTCAGCCTTTTGGTGTGTGGGCCTATGCTCTAATCACTGAGTCACATGGGCCTGTACAATAACTTTTTGGTTTGATGTAGTCTCATTTGTTTATTTTTACTTTTGTTTCCCTTGCCCAAGGAGATATATAAAATTATTACTAAGAGAAATGCCAGGGAGTTTACTGCCTATTTTCTTACAGAAGTTTTGTGGTTTTGGGTCTTATATTTCAGTCTTCAAACCATGCTGAGTTTATTCTTGTATATGGTGTAAGAAGGTGGTCTATCCTGCCATTTAAGCCTGCTGTTTCCTTGTTGATTTTCTGTCTGAATGATCTACCTATTGATGTAAATGAGGTGTCAAAGTCCCCTAGAATTAAAGTATTACTGTCTATCTCTCCCTTTATGTCCCTCAATATTTGCTTTATAAATTTAGGAGCTCCAACAGTGCCACCTCCTCTTCTCTCATATATGGAGAATCTTGAGTCATAGAGGGGGAGTGAATTTTCCCAAGCCTCACAGCACCAGACTCCTGCTTGTGAACCTCTCTGCCTGAGATATTGGGGTCAGGTGGAAGGGCACAGACACTGAGAAGCCACAACCTTGAGAAAGGCATAGTTATCCTATGAGATCTATAGTACTTGATCTTCAGGTGTAGCATGTGCTATTGAGGGAAATAAGGTCTGTGATGTGCCCAGCCCTTGGCAGGCCCACTCAGGGAGGTCTGTTGCCCAGCCGACACTGCTGTGGCCACTCCTGTTTCCCTTTGTCTCACCCTACAGGGCTTACTCAGCTATACTCTGCTGCCCAGTCCTTGGCAGCAGCCAGTGAAGGCAGAGTCCAGGCAGTCCTGTGATTTTGGCCAGGCCACTGACCCTTGGCCTTGTTTTTCCCATCTGTGAGGTGGAGAAAGGCCTCCCTGGTAGGGGCATTTGGGGTACTACCAGTGTTTCTATAATAGGCCGGGGGTTTTCTCCACAGTGTGTGGGAAGCCCAAGGTGATGGGGAAGATCTATGGTGGCCAGGACGTGGTGGATGGCCGGTGGCCATGGCAGGCCAGTTTGCTGCACCAAAACGTGCACCTCTGTGGAGCTGTCCTCATCGACTCCTCCTGGCTGGTTTCCACGGCCCACTGCTTTCTCAAGTGAGTCTTCCTTCCAGTGCCCAGCAGATGGGCTGGTGGGGGAGGGGATGCAGGGGAAGAGGAATGAAGGGTGACGGGAGTCCCATGTCAGCCCTCTGGGCTTTGCTCTGGGCAGCCTGTGGCCTTCAAGCACGTGCCCTTCCCGCCTTGGACCTGCATCCCCTCCTCCTGGACTGTCTTCCCCACTCACCTACCCAGATACTCATCCTTCACCTCAGCCCAGTGCCCGCCCCCCAGGGGACTGGCAGTGTCCATCCAAGCTGCCCACACTGAAGACTGGCTCTTTGCTGCCTCAGACCATGGCTTCTCCTCAATGCCCTCGTATTCCTGAGTGTCAGGCTCCAGGTAGGGACCTGGGGCTGCAAGGACAGGCAGCAGCTAGGCAATTCTCATCACTTCAGCAAAACTGCATGCCTGGGAGAAGCTGTGGTGCCAGGCTCTGTGGGGGGAGGTGGGGCTCTCTGACCTTAGAGAGTGACTCAGAAGTCTTAGCTCCTCTGGCCCTTCTGGGCCTGGCTCGGTGCCCCACTTCTGAACAGACAGGGAAGGGGCCCAAGGAAGCAGAGGCATCACAGCTTGGATCAGGGAGTTGGAGTTCGTGTACCAACTGGCTTTAAGAACCCAGTGTCCTATTGGCACCTCTGTGCCACATTCCATGTGAACCCTTCTGTGGCATAGGGGGTGGGAAGACCCAACCTCACCATGCCTCCATTCTGCCAGGAAAGAAAACCCAATATGGGGTGAGAAGGCCGACCCCACGGGAAAGGGAGGGAGGTCAGCTGAGGGCTGTGCTCCAGTGGGTGTGGAGCAGGAGGGGTTTGGGCCCAATAAGAAAGATTTGGGCATGGAGAGCATGGGGAAAGGCTTTCCTGGTGCATGAACCATGTGAACAAAGTCAGAAAGATGGGAAGTTTTAGCATAAGTTCAGGGAACAAGGTGAGGTTTTGTCTCCTGCAATCATTTGTTCATTTAATACAACTTCTGAGAGTGCCAAGTGAAAAAGCAGCCCTTGGGCAGTTATGTGTGTAAAGAAAGGAGGGGCAGGAAAAGTGTTTGGCCAAGAGGTAGGTTGCAGGAGCCGTGGGAAGGGTCTGGTTAGAGCTAAGATTAAGCCGGAGCTCCTCTTGTGTACAGTAAATGGCCCTGATGTGATGGCCCGACCAAGGACACTTCCAGCACTAGGAATCTCTGTTCCTTCAATTCCAGGGTATGATGGGGAAGCCATGTGTCCTGAGATTGTGAGTAGAATATCAATTAGCCTCAAGAAAGAAGGGATCCTGACAGAAAGGGGAGACAAAGCTGCCTGCATCATGTGGCATGGAGGGGTCCACAGGAATGTGGGCAAGGATGCAGGGAGAGAGAGCTGGCCCACACACTCAGGATGATGGTGACAGTGGGCCCTTCTCCCTGCAGTAAATCCCATGAACCGGAGGACTACCAGATTCTTTTAGGAAGCACCCAGCTGTACCAGCACACCCAGCATACCCAGAAGATGTCCGTGAGAAGGATTATCGTGCACCCAGACTTTGAGAAGTTCCACCCCTTTGGGAATGACATAGCCATGTTGCAACTGCACCTGCCTGTGAACTTCACCTCCTACATCAGCCCTGCGTGCCTCCCAACCCCTGGAGTGCACCTGTCCAAGCGCTCGTCCTGCTGGATAACCGGCTGGGGAAAGCTCACCGAGGACAGTGAGGGGGTGTGGAAGACGCTGGAGGATGAGAGTGCGCAGGGGGAAGAGGAAGAGAAGGCGGGAGAGGCAGGAAGAAGGGAGAAATAGCTCAGACTGAAGGGTCCCTACACAAAGAGGCCTCTGGTCCTCGGCCCTCTGTGCCTCATTTCCAGAGGCCTGGACCATCCTAGTTCTAGTTCTGAAAAGTGTGTGATTCTAAAGCATCAGAGTTCCCTAAGTCCAAGGCTCTAAAAGCCTGGGAATCATTGACATTTGAAATCAAGAATCTGGGTTCTTAGTCTTCATGGTCCTTGATTCCAAGGTTTTAATCAGCCATGGATCTGAGACAACTTGGTTCAACTTGAAGGTCATGCTGAG